AAGGGAAAAAAAGAAAGAAAAAGGAAGGGAAAAAAGAAGGAAAGAAAGGAAGGAACCAAGGAAGAAAGACAGCAACGAAGCAAGGAGGAGAGAGAGAAGGAGGGAAAGAGGGAGGAAAGAAGGAAGGAGAAAAAAGAAAGGAAAAAAGATGGAAAAAAAGAAGGAAGGAAGGAAAGAAAGAGAGAGAGAGTAAGAAAGAAAGAAAGATTTTTCTCAATGTCACCTATCTGCTTTCATGTCTAAGGTGGAACTATAACTCCCAGTCTCCTGGTGAATGGTCCTAAGTCACACAGTTGGTTCTCATGCCTAAGGCAGGACTAGAACTCACCGTCTCCTGGTGATTGACCCAAAGTCACCCAGCGGGCTTTTATGCCTAAAATGGAACTAGAACTCCCAGTCTCCTGGTGAATGTCCCAAAAGTTCCCCCGCCCAGCCTTCACGTCTAAGGGGGAACTAGAACTCACCGTCTCCTGGTTTCTAGACTGGCCCTTTCGCCACTGTGGCTTGATGCAACTGTAATGCAATTTGCACTGTAAACGGTTTTCACAGAAGAAACAGACAAAGAAGGCCATCACAAGTTTGTGTGAACAAACACCGCAAGCAGCTCACAACTTACTTGGGCAATTTCTCTTCCCTTTTCAGGCTCACGCTGAGGTCGGATCGCCTCTCCTTTTCCTTCTCCAAGGTTTCGGACAACCTGTACAGGTGCCCAGGTAGCAAAGACATGGATGCCGGGATCTTCATCTAAGGGTGACAGAAGGCAGACTGAGCTGGTGGTACCCACCGTAAAAATCTACATTTTTAACAACATTCAGAGGTAGTCCTCGGCTTGATGGCCCCAACATTTCTGTCGCTGAGCGAGACATGGGTGGAGCGAGCTTTGCCCCCTTTTACGACCTTTTAATGCCTCAGCTGTTAAGTGAATTGCCCCAGTTGATAAAGTTTGCAAAGTGAATTTGGCTTTCCCATGGACGTCACTTGTCAGAAGGTCACAAAAGGGGATGGCGTGACCTCGGGACACGGCGACGGTCGTAAGTATGAGTCGGTGGGCAAGTGTCGGAGTGTGGGTGACATGATCCTGGGGGTGCCAGAAAGCTCATAAGTGTGAAAAACTTATACCTGCTGTATATATAGTAGAACAGTGTTTCTCAACCTGGGCGACTTTAAGTCCTGTGGACTTCAACTCCCAGAATCCCCCAGCCAGCNAAGGGGAAGGAGAAGTAGGGGAGGAAGAAAGGAAGGAACAGGGGAGGAAGGGTGGGTGGAAGGAAATAGAGAAAGAGAAAGGGAGGAAGGGAGGAAAGAAGAAAAGAAGGAAAAGAAGGAAAAGAAAGAAGGAAAGAAGGGGAAGGAGAAGTAGGGGAGGAAAAAATGAAGGAAACAGAGGAAGGGAGGGAGGGAGGGCGGAAGGAAATAGAGAGAAAGGAAGGAAGGAAGGAAGGAAAGGAAAAAAGGAAACAAGGGGAAGGAGAAGTAGGGGAGGAAGGAAAAGGAAATAGAGAAGGAGGAAGGAAGGAAAGAAGGAAGGAAAAGGAGAAGTACTGGAGGGTGGAAGGGAGGGAGGAAATAGAGGAGAAAAGGAAGGAGGGGAGGAAGGAAGAAAGGAAGGGTGCAAATAGAGAAGAAGGAAGGGAGGAAAAGGAGAAGTACTGGAGGGAGAGAGGAAAGAAATAGAGGAGAAAAGGAGGAGGGAGGGAGGGAGGGAGGGAGAACTATCTATAATCTCACAAGGTTGCCATATGCTTCAAGGGTTCAGCTGAGACCATGCAAGCTTTTCACAATTTTTCCCACTTGCATGAGATCTAGTAACCTGGGGAGCACGTCCATTTTAAAAAGTATAGATTTGAAATGAATAACTTGAAACAGCTACCCGATCAAGTCCTATTTTCCCCTCCCTTCTTTCCTAAAAACCTGGTTTGCCTTCCTCGCCCCCGTGACCCCCCCTGGTCCCCCTTACCGGCTTTTCCATAACGATGACGTACTCCCCACCAACGGCGTTGATTTTATAGTGCTTGACACTCACGGCTCTGCAAAGAACACAAAACGGAATTCGAATTCTGTCCCCTCTTAAGTTTCATCCCAAGGTCCAATCATTCTATTTTAGGCCATTTCCAAGGTCAGAAGTCGAACCACGGCTAGTCCTCAACTTACGACCACAATTGAGCCCCAAATTTATGTTTTTAAGGGATAAATTTGTTAAGGGAGTTTTGCTCCATTTTACGACTTCCCTTGACACATTTGTTAAGTGAATCGCTGCAATTGTTAAATTAGTGTCACTGTTGTTAAGTGAATCCCCGTGGGTTTTGCATGTAAGAAGGTCGCAAAAGAGGGATCACGTGACCCCGGGACACTGACACCGTCATAAATATGAGTCAGAGGTCAAGCCTCTGAAGGTAAATCATGTGACCACGAGGATGTGGCAACGGTCGTAAGTGTGAAAAACGGTCCTAAGTCACTTTTTTCGGTGCCGCTGTAAATTCAAATGGTCACTAAACAAACTGTTGTAAGTTGAGGACTACCTGTAGTACGTTAAGTTCATTGTTCTCTGTAGATGTTCGAAGAGCAGGAACTAAGTCATAAGTCGAGAACTGCCAGTAACCGGATCTTGAAAGATTGAAGTGTGTGTACGCGTGCGCGCACGCGCCTTTGTCCTTCCAACTCACCCGGGCGCCTTCTGCCGAACGGTCAACGAGAAGCTCTTCCCATCCTGTCCAGGACGCAGCAACATGTTGCCATAATTTTCGTTCTGCTCCAGAAGGGCCACAGCTTCCGTTCTGGAGACCTGGAAGAAACAGCTGGGAGAAAAAAGAAAGAAAGAAAGAAAGAAAGAAAGAAAGAAAGAAAGAAAGAAAGAAAGAAAGAAAGAAAGAAAGAAAGAAAGAAAGAAAGAAAGAANAAAGAAAAGAAAAGAAAAGAAGAGAAATAAAATAAAATAGCATTAGTGGGTTAATTTGAAGCGGGAAGTAAAACGGAGGCTGCCTTCCTCCATGATCCAGGTGCGAATTCAGCCTCGGAATCAGCGTCGAAGTACCTTTCCCAGGTGAGGTCTGGGGGTCTTCAGGCTCCAATGGGGACCCCGACATGCCCTGCTCGCCTTCCGGATTTGTCTCCACAACGTCTGCAAAGAAGACAAGTCCTGGTAGAAGACGAGGAGGGGATTCTGACTCTTGATGACATTTGGACTACAGGTAGTTCTCGACTTACAACCATCCGTTTAGTGACCATTCCAAGTTACAGCGGCACGGGGAAAAAAGGGACAATTTTTCACACTTGCGACCATCGTAGCATCCCCGTAGTCAAATGATCAAAATCCAGAAGATTGGCAAGTGGTTCGTATTTATGACGGTCGCAGTGTCCCAGGGGGTCACGTGATCCCCTTTTGCGACTGTCTGACAAGCGAAGTCCACGGGGAAGCCGGATTCACTTAACAAACTGCCCGACTCACTTAACAACGGCCGTGATTCACCGAACAACGGCAGCGATTCACTTAACAACGGCGGCAAGGAAGGTCGTAAAATGAGGCAAAGCAGCTGCCTTGCTTAGCTACAGAAATTTGGGGCTCCCTTGTGGCCGTAAGTCGAGGATGACCTGATATTTCCCCCCTTTTCTCTCCAATTTCCCAGACAACTCTAGAGACGGTTGAGGCCTACCCAGCACCATGGCGTAGCTCTTCTCCACACTGAGGGGCACCAGGAGCCCCCTGGTCTTGGTGATGAAGAAGTCCAGCACGGCCATGAGGGAGGAGCAGTAATTCTGGGGAGGGGAGAAAAGCGAGGGAGGGGAGAGCGTGGAAATGGAGAGGAAGCTTTCGTCAAATCGGCTGGGGGAAAAAAGTCTCAAAACATGACTGCGGAATTGCAAGACATTTGGAAATTCTCCTCTGCTTTGAGCTACTCCCGTATTGGAACTTGGATGGGAGAAGGAAGGAAGCAACAGGAAGGAGATGTAGGGAGGAAGAAAGGAAGGAAACAGAGGGAGGGAGGGAGGGCAGAAGGAAATAGAGGAGGAGAAAGGCAGGAAGGAAAGAAGGAAATGAAAGAAGGAAAGAAGGGGAAGGAGAAGTAGGGGAGGAAAAAAGGGGAAGGAGAAGAAGGGGA